CTACCAATGTGTGTAGTAAGTATATAATTTTTCCCTAACATGACACTACTCATACATTTAAACAGCAAGAAATTGTTTCATACTAGCCTGCTGGCGGTAAGATACTCGTATGTCTGTACTTACCTCTTTGCTCTATTTTTCTACGACACTATAAAACACCTTATTAATAAAGAAAAATAGATAGATTAGGATACAAATATAATACTTTAACGTTAATACTTGTATAAATATTAAAATAAGTTGCAGGTTAGTGCCATTGGATACGTGGTTCGATCCCCATACAAGTCAAATAAATTTTTGCGCATCAGTTACACTTAAAGGGCTTTGCAGGGACTGTCTTTTTTGTATATCATATCTAAATGTTTTAGAAACTTTTCTCAACTACATTGATGTTGCACGAAGTCGTCCTTTTATTGTCAATGTTCTTTGTTTTTAAAGGAATGTACTTTACAGTAATTGTATACAATTAGTATTGTTTAAAACTAAACAGTTAAAAAGGTGAAGGTGACAACCGTTATATTTTTGTATAATTGAAAGATATTTAAATATACATACTGCGAATGTTACACGATACAACATAACAAGATAAGCTGCAAAAACCAACATTTCATAATTGTTTATTGTAAAGCGAAATATTAATCAAAACTTCACGGCTCAAACACACAAATATACATATATATTATTAATTTTTATGTGTTATAAAATAGGCGTTAAAACTAATGTTTTGTAAACATTTCTTAACGTGACATTTTTTATTTGCAGGTCATATTTTTCCTTTTCTGGCCCATTTACATATACGACAGGGAACTGGTGTTTCCCGAATTCATTGACAAAGCCCTCAGCCAATGGTCAAACCATATAATGCACACAGCAATACTACCTATCGTATTGTGGGAGTTTGTGTTTTTGCCAAAAACCGAGCCGCAATCGAAGCGATGGAACTTTGCCCACACTTACGGTTGTTACATCTGTTATCTATTCGTGTAAGTGTCAAAAAACTCTAAAAGGCATAATTTTGCAACTCAACAATTACTCGAAACTGTTAACTGTATTGTGAAAATGGTAGACTAAAATTTTACATTTTAATTCAAATAAATCACTTATATTTCCTATTCTAAATTATATATTACCTAGGCACTTGCAAGACCCCTAGGTGCTGCTGATTTTATACCTAAATAAATTTGTATAATTGCATAAAAAAAAGAACAAAAAGAACAAGACGCAGAGTTTCTTGCCGGTTCTTCTCTGAGCAGGTCTAGTTTAATGAACCGGTGGTAGATTTTTTGTTGACGTTCAATAAGAGCTTAAGTTAAGCCTATATTGAATAAATATACTTTGACTTTGACTTTGACTAGGTCAAATCAATTACTCTCGTGTAATGTGGATACGAAAAAGGGAGAAACCATGTAGGACAACTACAACAGTCGTGCGTTTGCAGATTATTTCTTCTTTACCTTTTTAATATAATTTTAGATTACGCTGGTCTTCAGCGAGATAATTTTGCTTCCCAAAATTAGTCCAGCCCATTCGTGCAGTCGAATTCTGCTTGGCCTAGCCAAAGTTAGGAGTATATTGAAAATTATTGTGGTGTGTATTCTATTGTTATATTTATATGTTCTAGATTATTCGGCACCTACGCACACCGTGGCATCTGGCCGTACCCAATTCTAGCGCAGACCTTTGGGACCTTAGCCTTTCCTGGGATATTCGCAGCCATCACCGTGGCGTTGTATCTAGTCCAATGTGGCCTATGGCCGGTGAACGCGCTACTGTGGAGATCACATACGATATCGAATGTGAAAATCAAATGATTCTCGTCGTTCGATAAGGAATTTCGATTAAATTATTTAAAAAGGATTCTATTGTTTAAATAGATATAATTACATTATTATTTAAAATTAAAAGGATAATGGTTCAGTGTTCAGTTCTGTTTATATAAATAAGGATGTAATGATAAAAAAGGTGCTGGCAACTGCATTTGGTCGTTTTTCTCACTTTGAAAGTTTAAATAAAAATTTTGAATTATTTCTTGGATATTGTTGCTAAAAGAAGTAATGAAAATTAAATCTAAATGTAAATTCATATCTTATATAGAACATAATCTTACTTTGTCCCAACTTAAGATAATGCAAGAATGCTGTAATGTACAAATAAATTGATTAATACATATCAATTTTTTAATTGGAAACTAAATCAATTGGAAATTCAAAATTGTGTCATTACTTTTCATTAATTATAAGCAATACGTGATGGCCACGCGAGTTCAGAACTTTTCCCATCCATAAGTGCCGTAAGTGCGTAATGAACCTTCCAATTCAAAAAATCTTGTCCAAACACTTAAATACATAGAAAATTTATTCTAGTCGAGGAAAAACGTGAAAACACTCTTCTTGTATCTTGTATTAACTGATGTTTGTGCTTGCAGTCCCGAGAATATTAAAGCTTCATCTGACGCAGAACCGGTGGGCTAGCCAGAAACCACGGGTTTGGGCCCTCCGCTGTGGGTATGGCCGCGCATGTGCGCATGCGTGCGTCTAACTACGGCATGTTATCGAAGGGCATCGAGGTTTGAAAACACTCGCATGAGCGGTTGCGAGTCTCGAAAATCGAACATTATTATCGGTCGTAGAAACTGGGATATATTCTATCCTAAAATAGTTTTCAAAGCAAGCCCCAGAGCAATCGTTGATTATTCAAGTGCATATTACAAAAATATGTAGTTATTTTCTAATAATGATTAAGGGATAAGAAATAAAACAAGATCGCATTGCAAGTGATTCGAGAATAATAATAAAAACAATAACATTTATTTTCTATTGGTTCTCAAACTTCATCTTTATCTACTTTTAGGTACAATGTTTTGTATTAAGTTCACAAATCAACAAAGCTAACGTAGGTACAGGTTGATCGAAAAAGATATCAGTTTTAAACAAACTGAAACGTCCAAATAAAAATGTTGTATAATCATATCATCTCATCGACCAACGTGCACATACTAAATATGTATTTATATATTCTGATTTCTTTACATAGATATAGGTTTTATAATTTGATTTTTAATATGATTTAGTTAATGTGTAAAAATACGTAATATTCAGTTAACAAATCAATATTTTTTATGTAATATAAAATAATTATCTCATAGAAAAACAAGTAGATCATTATTCAAAAATTTCAACAATAATCGAGAAAATTAACACCACATCATTATTAAATGAATCAGTCTCCATTTTCATTAAAAAATCGGACATTGCTCATTGGTATGCCGAAATAATTGTAACACTAAATCATCTAATTATTAGCGACTAATTTTATATACTTTTTTGTAACATATTCAAATGAAAACTATAATTTTCGGAATAAACGTGACGTCATTGTGGCTGCGTTAAGTAATATTTGGATTAAGCATTTAACGGCTCTATTTACTATATCGATATTCGGTAATGTTAAATAAAACATATTGGAAATATACTTTGGTTACATAACAGTGTGTATTATGTAAAGTAATTTTGAACGACCCGTATATATTTGTTAAACTCTATATAATCTCACTATGCATGTATATTTATAAACTATTTTATTGATATTCAAAAAAATCTATTTGTATGTGACTTGTACGCAACTGCGATAATGATAATGAAAAAAAAAATAACTCAAAGCATAAAACTATGGAATAAAAAAATAAAACAAACAAAACATAGACAATAACAGATTGCTTTATTTAACAAAAAATATATAATATATAGAAAGGAAAAAAAAACAACATTTTTCACGTGACGTTTCAAGATCAACATCTCTCAATCCAAGTGGAAAATCCGTTTTTATTTTTTTTAATAGAATGTAAAATTAAAAATAACCCATCGAACCTTATAATATTTAATATAAAATACATATGAATATTAGCTATTTACAAAATACGAGTTAAGATTTATACTTTTTAACACTATTATAAACCAGTCTATAGTAAAGGCTATTCGACAAAACTTAGCGTAAGTGTTAGAAAATTGATGGTTAATCATAATTCTAAAACCTAGCAGGCAATTTAGATGCAAAAAAAATAAAACAATAAAAAAACGTGTAAAATAAGCGTTCAGCGGTAATAAAAGGTAAAAAGTAAATGAGTCGCCGCCCACGGCCTTAATTTAATCAAATCAGGAAACAAAATCATCCGTATAGAGCGACAGTTCTAGAAGATTTCGATCGCTTCATTTAATGTGTTCGACTCATTTGTTTCATTAAAGAAAGCTAAAGAAATATAATAAAGTACAAAATTATGGGCAGTACTTTGTATACCTAAGTTACAACATAATCGTCCTACATTGAAGGGATAAAAAACATCAATATTAATAATCATTTGAAATAAATAACAAGTTACAATTCTCTTTAAAAAATAACTAATAGAATAATTAAAAAAAGACCTATCAATAAAACGTCTCGCTTACATGAAACTGTTGTGTGATCATCAAAAACCTGTCTACATCTTTTATAACTTTTAATTGTTTCTTAATAAAAACTCTATATCTATTATTATATCTTTATATATAATTATTATTTCTTCATTCAATGTTAAATACACTTTACGATAATTATGACATGGTTCAGCCGTGACAGCTTGTGATGCCTCATCACGGATGCGGCATCACAGCCGCTACGACCACGATGAGGCCGAATCAATGATGAGGCATCACATGCTATCACGGGCCGCCATGCGTTTTACGCCCGTCACTAAACGCGGCCAAACGGACATTCGGACCGATCTCAATACACCGTACGCCCTACATCGTGTGCGGAGACATCCGCCCGCCTAGAATCGAATTAAATAAAAAAAATCGCTTTAGCTTCCACATTGTACGTACGTACCTATACGTAAATATATCATAACAGTCTCAAAGTACATACATACAATTATAAATAGGTCAACAAACGGCATGGGGGATGTCTCCGATCGGGGGGAGGGGGGGGGGTGAAATAAACGGTACGTAGCTGTCAAGTCTTGTCTAGCCGTGTGTGTAGTCCAGAACGCTGTCCAGGGAGAACAGCTCCTTGTAGAGCGCCGGGAACACGTGGTGGGGGTGGGCCGCCTTGAAACGGCACAGCGCTTCCAAATGCATAAGTGACAGCTCTCTAGAAAAAGTACAAACGTCATTTTGTTAAATAATCATTTTATAGATGTATGGATCATCATTCTGATGTATGGATCACAATGCTGATAATTTATTTTCTACATGACAAGCAGATGAAGGCCTCTTCTCGAGTGTCTTTAATGCGAAAGTAAATAATTTTTTTCTGAGCGTTTTGTACTAAGGTACATTTATACCTTAGTACTTACCACCAACAACATGTTTACCTATCATTACGTTGGACGGTTAAAAACTAGTCAGTTTTTAACAAAGAAAGTAGAAACAGGTAACCTAGTGCAGTCAATGTCTCGCGGACCTAGTTTCCGCCCAAAGTCAAAGCAATAATTTTATCAAGAAAAATAAAATATAACTTCAAAATACTTTGAATCTGCTGTCAGGAATTCAAACTATATTTCAAACTATTCGCCTGTGATATGTGATAAAATTACCCAACTTATTTAAGCTTTTGATGGTTCGTACCCTGACTACCGTGGTTCTATTGAAAAGACTTAACACTACTCTGACTCTACCAAAGTTCTATTAACAGGACCCATGATACCATGACTCAACCAGAGTTCAACGACTCTTCGCGATCGTGACGTCACTCACCTGAAGGTGGGTATCTTAGTGAGCAGCGTGTCGAGCACTGTGACGTCACCCTTTAGCGGTGCGTGGTTGGTCTCGATCTCGTGCCGCATCGCCGCCATAGACATGTTGAACAGGCACTGGATCTCAGGGTTGCCGCGCACGCCGTGCCGTTCTACATATGCGAACGCCGAATGACGCATTCAATTTTTGTTCGTCACCCGGGTTGAATGAGCCAGGGTTCTTAACACAATTTCCGGGGCGAATGAACCAGGGTTTGTGGGTTTTTAACGCCCACTCGTATTTAAAGCAGCACACATGCCACATTATACATTCCTGCTGCCCGATTTGAATAAGTATCTGCCTAATTTTTCTATTAGTCCGGGGTAAATGAACCAGGGCTTGTTTTTAACACCCACTAATATTTAAAACAACACACACATGCCACAGTTGATGGGACATCTGCCTAAGTAGCTGCCTAATCTTTGTTTATTAATCCAAGGTGAATGAGCCAGGGTTTTTAACACCCACTTGTATTTATTAGAGCACACACATGCCACAATATATGGGACTCTGCTCCCCCATCCACCTAAGTAGCTGCCTAATTTTTGTTTAATAATTCGGAGTGAATGAACCATGGTTTTTAAGCCTCACTAGTATTCAAAACAGCACTAACATGTCACAATTGATAGGACCTTACGCCATCCGCCTAACTGGCTGCCATCTTGGAAATAATGCATCGATTTATTAGCGAATCAGTGTATCGGTTAATATCGGTTATCTTTATAATTTTCCTGAGAAACCTTTAGAACGCGTTTGGCTAACAGTAATGCTTGGGCAAAGACCAAGCTCTCCGGGGATTAAATGAATACTGACACATCTGTGTAAGTTCCTTTTGAATTCATCCGACTTAAGGCGCCATATACACTTGATTTTTGTATACACTACAAATATACACAGTAAACCTTAAAAAATGGCCAATTGTCGATCATTCGCTTTTATGAAGGCGTATCGATCATTAATATCATTAACTATTTATGTCATTAAATAATTATGTCAATAACTTATTATTTCATTAACGAATCCCTGTACAATACTCACCTGGCCACAGTAGAACAAGACTCTGGTAGAGCGCCAGTTCGGTTTCAGTCAACTTCAGTCTCGCGATTGTCTTCGCCGCGTCGAATATGCCTACAACCAGGGCCATATCCCGTGGGTCACTAGAATAAGGGAATAATAATATTGATACAAAGTTATAAATAAAATTCGTATACCGTGAAGCGTCCAACAAATTTAACCATGGTAGAGCCATGCTGCTGTTACCACAACCTCAGAAAACCAGCGTGTATTGTAGATTCTGCATGTCTATTGGCCACGAATATAACTTAAACCGCCTGCTCGTTTGCAAACTTTCAACATACAACTAAACAGGGAAGTCCCATAACTTAATAATATCCATATATTAAATGCTATTATATATATAATACATCATTTCATAGAGCTTATTTAGTGTCAAAGCTCTCTGGAAGCGGACCATAAGTGTTTTTTTAAAGTGTTTTACGCGTACGACGGAAATCTCCACTGGGATACGAACCGATGACCTTAAATTAATAAGTCCGGCCTTCCATCCACGCAATAATCCGCACGGGTCAATGTAAACAACACTGGGGCGGCATATTTGCTAAGCGGCAAAGGTGCGTGAAATAAAGATAAAAACGACATAAGTTTAACGACTCACCGAGCATGCACGCACTCGCGTATTGGCAGCACAACGTCCCCATACAGCACTTGCTCGCGATTGACGTCGATCAACCGCGAAAGGCGCACGATCGCCAATTCGAATGACCCTGAGGAACACAATCATGAATGTACACGACAAATCAAAAAAATTTACAGTTAAACTAACGAAGAAAAATAATTACAGTCACTTTACATTTTAAAAAAGTAAAGTAAATTAACAGCATATACAAGTTCTATGGCTGGGCTCTCCTCTGTAGAGACGGTATTAGTGAATAGTCCACCACAACATTACAAACAAAATAAGCAGGATTCCTCACGATGTTTTCCTCGACCGCTGAGTACGTGATAATTCAGCATTTTAAATTAACAATTTCATTGGTGCCCTGGGGATCGAATTCAGGTTGCTCAAGTATATTGAATTAAAAGCGAGTGCCCAAACACTCAGCTATCAGGCTCTTTATCTATCTTTCTATCTCAGCTTTTAAACTTATGAACCTTTTTTGTTCATTATTAATGTGTTGACGAGTTGAAATTATTGAAAACCTCCTGCTATCCTGTGGCGGAACGAATAATAATTTAACGTTTAATGGTGGTGGCAAATGAAATTCAATCCCACAGAGTTAATCTTCTGTCCTTAAAAATTTAATGATTTACTGCAAACTGAAGAGGGATACCAAATAGAAATACTACAGACTACAGATAAAAGCAAAACATGTCATTACTTCAAGATCTATGTCTTAAAAATCCTCTCATTTATTTGAGATATTAATAAATTTAATAAGTTAATTGAGTCCGTATCGCTGTTGCCATGGTATGGACTTAGGCGCCGGGGGTCGTCGGTTCGATTCCCACACGGGACAACTATTTGTGTGACCCCCAGATAATTGTTTCGGATCTAGGTGTTAGGATCTGGTGAGTGAGGTAACCGGAGCCCAATTTTCAAAAGGTTGTCAACGCATCTGTAACCCTCGGGTGTAGCAGATGTCCATGGGCGGCGGTGTTCACTTACTATCAGGTGAACCGTCTGCTCGTATGGCAACTTTTCACATAAAAAACAATCTAGGTGTTTGTCTGCGTGTAATTTATGTATGTAATACGTACATGGCTCCTACTACAGGATAATGTTATCCTAAAGAGCTATGTTTTAAAATAAAAAAGTAAAAAAAAATTGCAAGCGCTTACCAGATTTTAGTAGCAGTATTTGATCATCCTGTGTGAGCTTCATGAAGCCGGGAATGAGCTTGGCGAACTCAATGATGTTCTGGATCATTCCGGTGAGCTTGTCAGCGCAGTCGAGCCACATCTCCTCGTAAGTCATCGAGTTGTAGAACAGCAGCCTGATGGCAGAAATGACATTTACCCATCAAATCACTTCTGATGTAGGGTCACATCAAACAACAGTGTCGAAATACAGGGCATAGTTATTACTCCCGCAATAATAGTTATTTATATATACCGAGTTCCGATCTCAATCGTCAAGCCTCGCATCAGCTTGACCGCTAGAATAGTGAAAACGACCTTGACTTGTTTCTGACTCATAAGCGGTATTTCACAGCCAAAGCATCATCTCGCCATATAGTCAACATTAATGTGTTTCTATCGGTGAATGCACCTGCCCATTGAAATTGAATCTCATTCATATCTGATGGATTGAGCAGAAACAGCTTGTATTCTTCACCGAGGCCGTTAACGCTTAAAGCCCATATGGTTTACCATTTATGGACATATACAAGAGGTTATGTTTTTAATACTTAATTAAAAAAGCAAAAATATACGGAAGAAATACGTGAACTTAAATCTCTAGTCAGTGGGGACAAGGATAAGAGATGGATAGAACAGATGGGGAATCTCAACACGATATCAGCAACTGATTGGTGTTGATCCACAAATCAATAAGGCGAGCAACCCTTTACCATCAGGTAGAATAATGATCGAGCTTTAGATAGTAACTTATAAGAAAATTGTGAAATGTGAAACAATTACATAAGTCAAGATCTTTGTTCGACTTCAATACGTAACTTTTCTTAATATGACTTGTCATTAATCCCGTAACACGAGAGGCCTATTTTGATCAAAGGCCAGTTAGTGTTTGTACTCACTTGGACACGTCTGGCGGTTTCCGGAACATCTCGTGTATGAACTCCAGCTTCAGATTTGTGTTCGCGTGCGCCTCGGCCAAGCTCTTCACCAGCACCTTGCTGATGTCACCTTCGGCTGAAAGTGGTATATTAAGGAATTCATAATTTTGAAACTAGAACAAATGTGGACTCCGCGAATTAAAAAAAATGGAATTCTTTTTAGGCAATATTTACTACATCTACAAATACTACTGTGTCAACAAATAAATCCATTGCCTTATCTAATAAACATCCATTACATATAGGGATGGTTTAAAATAAACCATAAACATAAAAAAAATATCTTGAACAAAAAAGAATAACGTAAGAACTATTTTACAAGCCAAAAGAAATCTTAAATAAATATATCCTAAAATCAAAAAAAATATATATAACATACACTGACATTGACAGACAGATAAACTGACAACAATGTTTAATTGGCGAAATGAACTTCCAGTTATATTTGAAAAAGAAATAAATTAATAATAAACGACATACATAAACCTATCTAAAAAAAAGTAGATTATGGCTTTGGACCCCTTGTCTGCCGTAATAATGGCCACATGTTTATGTTCATGCTGGCGTAAGTACTTCAGTCTATAATTATTAAATTTCCAATCGCAAATTATCACAATAAATTACGTCCAATTATCCAATACTACTTCATGAATACCCCTGTAAATTGCCATTTTGTTCACATAACATTCGTATGCAGATTTTACTAAACATTAGATAAATATGATCACAAATTTGTGCATTTCCAGCGTGCTTATATAGTTGTTGCCTAACTTTGCCACTGATACCTGTTCCACTAATAATAGTTGAATCGAAAAAAGATTTGGGACCATACGCTGCTAAGGTAAGATTCACTTGACGCAAAGACATAAAAATTTATATTGATTCATGTTAAATTTACTTTCTTTAACTGAATATTAGGAGTTTTCCTGACGTTTTCCGGAAATTTATGTTTGTGATTTTAAGATGTCAAAATAGAGACAAGGAATTACCACGATTTAAATTACAATCTTCTCTTTTCATTTTAAATTTCTAATTTTCGTTTTCTTACTTTTACTTTTTAATTTTTACTTTATAACCATAATCTTAATTTATTTTAATTCCTTTTCAGAATAATAATCAGTTCTACTACTAGGTTTCCACAGAAACAATATATTCCTGAGAAAATATAGAGCACATATGTAAAACGGCGAAAACATTGTTGTTTGTGAAGTTTAACTGAATGTATTAAAAAAGTTTTTAACAAACAATCTGTCTATTTTAGCAAAACATTACAATCATGAAAAAGTTTTCTACGCGATATCATAATATTAAGAGCCAAATCACAAATTTACGGAATAATAAAACAAACCTCGAAAAAACATAAAATAAAAAATGAGCAGCAAAATAAAAAAAAATAAAAAAGCCTACGGGACTTACAAAAAATAAAAACAAAAGAGAAATACGAAAAGACGACGATGATTTGCATCGGCAAACAAAACTACGGGATAAAAAAACGACGTCCAAACCGCTACTTAAAACGCCACTTACAAGGCAGGTCGTCACCGCTCGACGCGCTCTGACTAGAGCCCGGATGTCTCCTGTTCGAGACGGCGTTGGGGTTCACCATTCCCATGCCGGACATGTTCATGTTCAGGGGGTCCATCAGCCGTCCGTGGCCACTGCTGGATGTCAGATCGTCCGGGCTCAACTCCTCGCTGGTGAGCGACACGGAGCTTTGGCCGCTGACCAACACCGTATTCTGGATGTCCATAGGGCTGTGCATATTCGACGGGCTGTGCAGGAACGTCGTCGAGTCGACGTAACTGGCGACTAAGTTGTCCACGCCCATCGAGGTCTCGGGTTTTATCTCTTGCTTTATGTTGATTACGCCGGGCGATATGGAGGCGGGCGATTGGATGCGCTCCTGGTCGTAGCGGTCGAAGTCCTGCTGTATCCGGTTGCGAGTGAGGTCGTTTATGGTGGTCTGTCGCATGGACGTGGTCGACGTGGTCGCAGTGGTCGTGGATGTCGAGCCGACGGGCCGGACGATGGTGGTGCTTTTTTGTTGTTCGTCTACTGACAATCATTCGATTAGCCCCTACAATATTAATTGCTAAAGACTAAATTATCGAATTTAATTATGTTCTTCGTTACCTTCTCCGCCTTCATTATTTTTATCATTACGATCTCTAAAGTTTAACCCAGACATCAAAACGAAACCGACTTCATTGCTATAAATTAACATCGCATTTCCAAAGTTAATACGTGTAATTAAAATGTACACTAATTTATACCATTTCGATTAAATATCGATTTAAGCCGATCGCAGTTGTAAATTGACTACAAAAGCTAAACTTGTCGAGATAATCGAAAGCTAAACCCGAAAACACCCGACATTCCAAAGCTCCACAGAAACTTTAAGCTGTGATCGTGACAATACAATGCTGCTAAAGCTGAACTAGGGATGATCGCCGTCCGCGACTGTACCTAAATGGCTATAAGATGGCACCAAAAGAAAACTGCACTACAGCTGAACTGGGGAAGATCGTCTTCCGCAACTGTACCTAAACGGCTGTAAGGTGCCGCCATTATAAAGCTGAACTACAGTTGTACGGGGGAAGACCGCTGTCCGCGACTGTACCTGAAAGGCTGCTCGACTGCGCCAGTACAAAGCTGCACTACAGCCGCAATATCGAAGACCGCTGTCCGCGAAAGTACCTGAAGGGTACAATCAGGCACAACTGCACTACTCACCGTGGCCGCCGATGAAGTCCGCGTCCAGGAAGCCGCCGGTCTGCTTGGGCTCGTAGGCCGTGGTCGAGTCCACGTAGTCCGCGGACACGTCGTACGGCTGCTGCTGCTGCGGCGGCTGGATGCCGCCCATGTTGGACGTGAGCGCCGGCGCCGCGTTGCTGTAGCCGTAAGAGGAGAGCGGCGAGCTGTACCCCGGATAGCTGTTGGCCAACCATCGGTCGCGTGGATCAGACCCGAGAGCCAACGGACGCGCGGCGAACTAGCACGCGTTCGATTCTTGTTACGAACAAGATCTTACGAGCTAAGTTTCGCTACGATTAGTATTTTTTTTTAGTTGAAAGTGATAATTGAATCTATGTACGTATTATGTTAATGATCCGGTAATATTTAGTCTACGGATTCTAGTTCTAGATTTTATTCATTGGAACATACCATAAACGTTAAAAACAAATTGCGATTTATAGGTATATATTTAAAAAAAATATTTTGAATATGTGAAATCTTCAAAATATTTTTTACTATACATTTTAGTTGCAAGTATATGCATATGTAGGTTTCACGCAATTGGTTAAAAAAAAGAAAAACAAACGATAACGGGGCAACTATTACTACTAATGCTTTTCAGAAAAAGAAACAGAAATCCGCTTGCAATAGAATGCATATCTAAGCTGTTCACAGCATTAAATAAGAACACCTGTCAATTAAAATCAATAAATACAGCGCACAATGATTGTCATGAATACGGCGCCGCGATCTATCGGCGCTTGCGGGAACCATCCGGGTACCGCTATCCGATACTAGGTGGCGCTATTTACATTTACCGCTAGGCGTCATTCACTGTCGCGGGTATACCGTTGTGGTAATGACGTCTGATGCGCCGCTGACACGAATGTCTGCGACGAATTACGGGTAAGCAACGGTAAGGGCCTTTCGTGCAGACATCGGAGAAAGCGTCTCCGCTTAGACGATTATGTAACGGGAAACTGGCCGCGTATGAAAAATGCATTGGCACCGATAAAGGAACTCTAGTCGCGCGAGATCTCGCTACGCAATTAAAAAGACCTATTACCATTTATATTGCGTTATTTCCACTGAGCTATAACGCAGATTTTTAATAGAGTTTTATGGAGCGTTTACAAAAAACACTCCTATGAACTAACATGAAACTATGAATCTCGGCTATTATTTGATTGAGGCTGAAAACACATGCATCATACGTCTGTCATGTCGTTAGACCTATCAACAAGTACATAACTATATAACCAAAACATTTAATCAATCTTAATAATAGAAATGAATAATAGAAATGCTAGTAATAGTGCAGTCTTCAAAGGCATTTCATTCTGATGAAAATGTAATTGATCTGAATACAATTTTAATGTGTATTCTAAGCGGACCAAGCAGCTAAATAAGAGGTAGCTATATTGAAAGACGAATAAAATTTTAAAATCCCCGAATGACGGCCTGTTCTCTCGAATGCTCGTAGTGACTATTTAAAAGAAGCCTGAATTGAATACGAGTAGGTGGATATTAACATACCCATTGTAATGTCCATGGAATTGATCGCTGGAGCTAGGCGTCTGCTGTTGGGCGTCGTACACCGAGTCAGGTGCTGCGTCTGTTTGTTGGCGCATCTGTGCGCGGTGGAATCGTACCTCGTCTTCCACTTTCTCGCGTTGCTTCTTCGACATACGTCCAAATTTCACCGCTGTAACGGATAATAAAAAAGTTAGATAATTTAAGACTTTGGAACAGTGGTAATTGACTTTTTAGTCAATTACCACTGTTGATAACAAAATTGCAATAGGCCATCTTTATACAGCCTTCAAATGAAGGAAAGAAATAAGAGGGAATTTAATTAATTTTTAGTTCAGCTATCCGTCGCCAGTCAGCGCTGTGGGCGCTATGACATAACGAGAAACCAATTCCCCGCGTCGCCCCCATACCGTCCCACAATCTCGCAATTCACACGCCGACGAAAATCGCGAACGCGGCTCGTTAAAAATCGTCAAAGCGTTCATCACAATGCATTGCTCTCAATGACACCTAGCGTACTGTTACTCAATACCTCACACGTTCACGCGCAATTGTCGTAGTGTGCGAAGCGCGTTCGTGTGCTAAAGCACCGCTCTTGTGTGCGTGACAGCTCACAGAAGGGTGCGCGTGTGTGCGCGCGGTACACGGCGGCCGTTGGCACACTGCCTAGTAGAACAACGAACTCCGCTAACTCTGACGTACGTATGTATACGCGCTACGTACGTGTGACGTGCGGCGATCTTACTACGTAACGCGGCTCGATCCCGTTCGGCCGGTAAGGCGGCGAAATTGAAACGCTCCCGCACGATGGAGCCACCGCGCCGTCCGCCTGCTAGTTAATTCGGCCGGCTAATTCACCGCCCTCAAGTGGGCCCACCATTTCGTGTGCGTAAAATTTTTCGGTCCCATTTCGGAACTGTGAAAAATTTTCTGGTCACTGGAGTTCATTGAACCATCGCGTTCGTCCGCCAAACTAGATCCCTAATTATTTGTGTAACGTTCGAATTGGGAGCTCGCAACGGCTGGTCAAATGGTGCGAGTTTTGGAACAGTAACCTCCAGTTTAACGTCCTAGTTAATGGCTTTTCGTACAAAGGCAATATTTTGTGGAAACATTAACGTCCAGACAGTGAGTCGGCTGTTCTTGAGAACATAGGCCTTTCAGTAGTTTCTAAACAATATAATATGCTCTAAAAAAATTTGGGTTACATTAAGCGTGGTTACGCCACTAAATTAAATATAACATCGTTTTTCCGACGGAAAATTACCAAAAATATTAAAACAAATAATTTCTGTACGTCGATCTATACGTAAGTAGCTTAATTGAAATAAATTCATGAATGATAATTTTTCTTTAAAGTATGTAAAAAATAGCCCTGTTCGAAATGAAAGACCGTTCAGCTTGATTTTAATAGCATATACCATTTAGAAAACACAAATGAAAACAAAATTTTTATGTGTGAAACAAAAAGTGCCAATCGCCGAGAATCGAATCTCTGAGACTACTACTAATCACGATTGATGCGATCTAATAGGACCTCTATGTCTATAATTACACACATTCTATAGATCGGAACACCAGTAGTACATCATTGACAAAAAGCGCATCCGAAACATAATAAGATTCGTTGCCTTAACGGTTCGACCAATTGACAGAATGACGTAAGTAGCCACACGCAAAGCCGTTAGCGATACACGATGATTAAAATACGACGATACGTCCGCGTTGAAATCCGCCTCGGAATTCGCGGCTTGCCGAAGTCTGGAGAATTGGGTCGCACTTTTTACCCGGCGATTTTTCAGGTTCGACCGAGTCCGTTGCATAAACACAATCGCTCCGTATCTATTCGTGTCTGTCAGTTACGTGCTAACAAAAACATATATTATGTTACGCCTCGCGCATGCAGCGTTGCACAATGCGTAGTGATGCGACGCTGCGCCGGATCGATATCGATAGTTCTTTGCACTAATAGCCTTTCGTTTGAGTGCAATATCTAAACAATAAGTCGGAACACCGTCAATAAGCTAGAGAGGTTTTCGTCGCGATAAACACAAAAGCTTTTACTAAGAGCCCATTCGTCGATTGATATAGCTGTACTTTTCTTTCGCAATGCATTCTTAAAACGTCGTTACATCACAGTCGATGTTAAGGAAATAAATTTTTAAATTACTGCGTGTAAAGAGATTCCACGCAACAATAAGCTTGATTGCCCAATAAATACACGCGACTCAGACTTAGTGTCTTCAGACGCTGTGAGAACCAATTTATCCTGATTTACCTCGGTCTCTTTAACAATAGCGTTATCTCAATTGTGACGGACAACCGTGATATAAGCGATAATACTCACATTAGATATACAAAAGCTACTTTACAGCTTAGCAGATGAGATATTACTACTTTGATTCAACTTTACGGCTCCCGATACACTTTTACTGCGACGCTCGAACGCACGCATACATTGTTCCGACACTTTTCTCGATATAATTACGCCCGGGCCCAACACTATCTATTACATGGAGTTGCGCAACGGCGGCGCGTCACTACGCATGGGCGGCGCCTAGCTATGCACATACTGGGACGGGATTTGCGGCTCCAACAATATAGGCGCACCCATAACGTGTACGTAAGAAACTGACATTTATCGATTAACATTTGTTTTGTAATACTATCGACATTAATGCAGGTACGTCCATTAAATGCTAGTGTCGTAATGCCATCGATATTGATTTCGTGTGCAACGTCCAAAGCGACACTAATGTACGTATTGTGCACGAGTGGATGGTGTGTTTTTTGTTTTAATAAATTACATTTCACAATGCATTAAGGCGTTTTTATCTCGTCGTTTGTCAAGGTATGAAAAAGTCTTGCAATACTCGCACAATTTCTTATTTGTACGCATTTTATTTCAGTTTTATTTTTAATTTTATTGCATAAGTTGAAAATAACTTTTTAAATGAAACTTTAGTAGAGATTTCAATCTTTTCTTATTACCTACTATATGCTTGAGCTACTAGATTGATGTAGAGTATGTGTCTAAACCACGTAACATTTCGGTTCGAGATTTATGACTTAACATATTTACACGACGAATTTTATGCACATCTATTTTTGCAATACACGAGATGGAAATTAAGTACTGTTGTTTCCTGTTTAAAAATAGTTATTACTTAATACCTATGAATTTATCAACCCTGACAACTTGAATCGACAGCTTACGTAAGTCTGTTGGATACCGAAAGACGCAAGACTATTAAGCCTAGAATCGTTATTACAACAATTTAAGGATGGCCTATTTTAACTATAGACCACAATTAACCACTTAGTATGTAAGTACCACTAGTACCAAAGTACCACTCTCCGTACTTAAGTTACAAGCGATTCAACAATGTTATTTAACCCATATTGATAAAAACCGCCCGTTTAAAAACACCGGGCCCATTAGGACCTGGCCACACTTACCCAACAATAGCCGACATAATTATTTCCATCACTATCGCATTTTCTTTATCACTTGTACCACGGCAAATGTGATTGTATAAGAACAACATTGCGTTATCAGCGCTGATAAGGTGTCGTTGACCTCGCGCTCGCTTCCTCATACCTTATACCACGTGTTTACGACGTAATTTCATTACACGATCTCAACGTTCACGACGCGACCGAATAATAGAAATGTGTATGACATCTTACATATGATAACTCAGTAGTAAAGGTTCATTGCTAAACATTACATCCAAAGCTCTATCCATAGGCGTGTAATATTGCACGAAATTTAAATAGAATAATAATAAAAAATCTATACCTCGTCACAGAGCACATGCCTCTCCCCTCTTTATTTGTTACCCAGCAAATATTTGCGGAAACGTAATCGGTGAACATTTTTCTATATCAAAGCCCGGACGCTTCGGCCACGCCCATCGCGAAATAATGAGGACAAAATGAAACGGACACTCACCGTCGCGGCTCATGCCCAGCTTGAGGCACTTCTGTAGGCGGCAGTATTGGCAGCGGTTGCGGTTTACGCGGTCCACCACGCAGGCCTTGTTGCGCGGACACTGGTAGTTCACCACTGAAAGAAATCGCTGTGTTAATAAACACATTTAAATCCATTCTAACTGAACGCAGCCGTCGAAAGTTGCTTGATAAGAAAAACGCCCGGAAAGTCCTATTAAGATATATTGAAAAAACTACGGAACGGGTACGGAACCCTAAAAACCCTTCAGTTTCAATCGCTATATTTATAGGGCATTTATTTATACCTCCCAGTGACATGCTTGATCTAGATTTATATCGACTTGTTTCATTCAAAACTATGAAACAACCGCAGCGAAGAAAATGAAAAGCTTTGACGATATCCCAGATGAAAAGGATTCTTTACACAAACAAAAAGAATTACTTGTAATCGAATAGTCTTGCTCAAAAAAGTACTCATCACTATAGCGAAAAGCTGCGTTGCCTCTAAATGTCACTTAATAATCTGAAGCAAATATTCCACATACCACATTTTATTTGTCTAAGGCATGGGGTAAACAAACGAAATATCGCAGCAAAACACCCGAGACAACCAACATAACAGATAAAACTAAAGTAAGACCTCTCTGTTCCCACAAACACAAGTAACAGACGCTAAAGCAGATAAAGATTCAGGAAGACAGATAATCTAAGCTGCAATAAATATGATTCGACCACGATTTAAGTTGAGATAGAGCGTTATTACAAGTTGCTTGCTAAGTTCCTTTTTGATAAGTTAACCAGCAACTTTTTTCGAGTGATGATACAATAAATATATCGGCAACCTATTACAACTGAAGGGGAAAGTGTGTAATTTTTTACATCACTGCCAAAAACGTAAATTAAAAAATAATAAATAAATCTCAAGAGTTTTACCAATGATAGCCTAAAGTGAATTAAATAGATAGCAATAGCAAAATATTCTTGTTTACGTCAGAGATTAACTCATATAGATTGTTGATCAAAATAATACTAGAATTAATAGCGGTTATGAAAAGAAACCTAATGGTTTTAAAATTTCAATTACATTAGTTAATTCACTTTTGATGTGTAAAAAAGTTTACTGTGAAAAGATCATAAGCGCAATGGCTTTCGTATATGAGTATGTTTGCCTCTTAAAGGTCGGCGCCACTAACTTTGACATTCGCCGGAAGTAGGCTTCTATAATATTCGCTCGTGAGGCTAACGATGCTTACGTAACGCTTTTAATTAAAAAATAACATAAAATACACCTAAATTATACCGAGATCTATTAACGAGAATTCAATGTGAGAAAAGAACTTTATAAACAAGTGAGCCGAAATTAAGAATTCAAACTGGCTCTACTTTAAAAAAATGATAAGCATCTTGTGCCTGTCTTTTCTGAAATTGGTTTTTTTTTTGTTTCTTTCGAAAATATAATAAGGTAAAAGCTGATTTTTTGAAGCCGACCTGTGCTCTGGGACCTCCTGAAGAAACCCTTGCATCCTTCGCAAGTTATGACGCCGTAATGGACGCCCGATGACTTGTCTCCGCAGACCTTGCATGGTATTATCTCGATTTGGGCTGTAACAAGAAAAATAGGCACTGTCATAATACATTACACTGTAAATTACTCCAAACGCCAATCTAAAAATCATCTTGTAAAAGTCTAAATAACGTTGTTATTGCACAACTGTTGTGTGAAAAGTCCTTATAAATAAATATTACACAACATATGGCAAGGTCAAGGCAATGAATGATAATTGCAAGTAGATAAGCTGTCCTGAATGGCGTAAGATCTTTAAGCAATTAATTATCAAACAAAATAGAACTTTTTCTCTTTAAACATTATCAAAAGGCAATCTCAATAATATCAATAAGTTGTTTTTTTTTATTAAAGCGATAGAAATATATTGGTATTGTATTCTTGAAGCAGCATTCATAAAATTTTCGTAAATCTTTGAAGTTTTTGACAAATCTTACTCCCAAGGCATTCCAAATGAATGCTTTTATGTAATATTAAATATATATTTTTATTTTAAAAGAATGTTTATAATACGCAAATGTATATATATCCTTTAACTACACACGGAACATCAATGAAATAAACCGCTCTTATTAAAAATATATTAACAAAGATATCAAATTATGAACCACTTTATTGTCAATTATTAAAATAATTTCAATTTTATATTTGAGCGCCATTTTTGGTCGAGAGGTCGTCGACCTCGGGACAAGGTCGGAGCGCGGACGATGACTGTCTTTACGTGTGTGCGTAAAAGTTGCCTCCTCGTATAAACATTGGTCCATAAATAATTCACATGCCATTTTAATTTGTATTTCAGTCAGATAGGACCCTTAATTGCTTGTGTAGTTTTGACAGATGGCATTTCATAGCACTCTGATCGTCATGCGAGTAATATCAAACTCTAGGCAATTATAAATAGGAGCTGTTCTGGCATACCCCTTTTTTCGGACGAGAACTTCCTACATGCATGTGTCATCAAAGTACATTTATTCGATAAACAAGTTTAATACAATACAACTGTGTGTAGAAATCCCGAGGGGAGTACAACAAATGAAGGAACACGTGTACAAAGTAATTGTTCTTTTCAAACCTTTTAATGCGTGCTTGACTAGTGCTGTTCAAGCAGCTTTTTTGCTCTCGACAAGTTTTAGCGCTCTTGTTCTAAATCTGTGTAAGAATCGCAGAAAGATTATCGGCAGTACACGGTTTGGAAAAGGATTCCGAAGAACGAGTATTAACAAACCAAATGGGCCTTCATTGACTTCTTGATTTCACATATAACTCACTAGCTATGTAAAATCAAATGTCAATATCGAGGGCCGATTTAACATTAAACGAATACAAAACAAAGTTATCAACATTTTAACATTTGAGTACACGTGATTAGATGTCGAAAGTATATATTTCAATATTATATAGATAGATTCCAATATTTATCCATGATTTTTAAAAACATTTCGGTGTTTCTCTAACATAATTAAAATATGTGCCATTGTATTAAAATATAAAAAATTACGTTCAAATTAAAAAAAAGCGGCAATCGATGCCGCGAGAAACAAAGAGTGTAGAGGTAAAAGAAAACCTTTTTAGTCAAACATATCAACAGCAGTGGGTTACTTTATTGCGTTGAAAATCTTTTAAAAAGTGGGCCATAGTTACCTCAAACAACGTACGAAATCGCCAAACCAATAATCCTGGTCAGCTAAGATCCTTGTAGTAGGACCTCGCAATAGCTTCTGCTTTTGCATTAATGGGCAGGCTCGTCCGGGAAAGTACCACGGTCTAACAGAATACCAGCGTGAAGTGAAAGTTATATACTTTCACGTTTCATCTGATAAGTGACGTAACCTTCTTAAAAGTTGTCAACACATCTAAAAAGCCTTCATGTTTTTTATATGTTCATGGGCGGTATTCACTTAACATCAGGTGAACCGCCTACTCGCTTGACAACTTTTCACATAAAAAAGACACCGGATGAGTCTTTACAGCATAAAAAACCGCTTCATGTCTCTCTCACAATAAAGTGGAAAACCACACGAATAATTATCTAGCGTCTAATACGCGTATCATCTAAACTCGATAGAGTACGCATAAGCAATTAATACCCAATCAGGAGCTAATCGAGAACGCAGTTAGACACCTAATATCCCCGACACGTGTAACATCGATTTCTACGATATTAATTTCAGCGTCAATTCACATCCTAATCACTATCGCTTCAAGTATTTAAGTTCCGTGCGATAGAGGATAGTATGACACAAAACAACTAATCCCTATTTTTATAAATATGTTGTATAAACAGCAATTTACACCTACGACACAAGCAACTGTACAAAATGCTACTATAACACTATAAGGTCCTTTGAAATGGTTTTATATCAATATAAGTTAGAAAAACAACGAAGTGGTACAACTGCCTGTACTTGATTTCAGACTTCAGATTAACATTAATTAAAAACTTGTCATGTTACTTCAACCTAATATCATATTTACCAACTGCAATATATTTATTTACCAAGGGCTTTCGAGTTTTTCGGATTTCAGATATCTTATGTGAAAAACTACTGTCTAGGGTTACGTTTATTTTTAAATGGAAATTTGGGAAGCGAGCAGGCGAAGTTAATCACTTACTCCGCCGCTAATGGATACAACAAGCTTGGGTTGCAGATGCGTTGCCATTCAAAAAAGTGGGCCCCGTATACCTCACAAACTGGCATAAACACGAAAGAGTAATAATTCCACGTCACGCCGGTATTCTGTGAGGCCGGTACTTCCGCGGACGAGCCTGCCTTTCGTGCAACAGTCGAAGCTGATACGTGGCACTACTACAGTTACATCGTATAGTGACAGGTTTATATTTATCACGTTTATGCGCTCAATATATGGCTGAGATATCTGACACAGCTGCCAGGTTTAAAGGAATTTAAACTTTTTGACGAATGAAATATTAAGTTGGAATCGAAATCGAAGGGGATGTAGCCAACATGCTGGTGACACCACACCGAACATTAGTTCGTCTTCGTTACCAACGTAACCAACTCAACCCGTACACAAGGTACAGGATGGTTCTCATCGCCCTAACCAAGGATTAATACCGTCAACGGCCATTGAGCTCACGGTAGTTCATAACCCCGATGGCCCGTAGGTGATATTCCCCACCATAGATAACACACGCATGAGCACAAACGGGGCCCTACCCTACGCGGAGGGCCATATCAAGCTTGGGATTTGGCTATCTGACGAGTTCTACGTTCAATGAAGCTTCAATAGTCTACGGACCGAAGGCAAGAACATCAGTAATTTTTATTATTTTCGATATTAGGTGTACAACGTCAGATAAGGCGGCATGCCTTATTTGTGGTTGGTTATGTTTTTATTACAAATAGAGACAGGTAATAATTATTTTATTATTCAAAAGTGCGATTCATCTCTCTTTCTACAAAATCCCCGAGATCTTTTCATATTTTACTCTGAAACAATTAATTTGCAAATATGTCGGCTGCAAAATAAATCAACGCTTAGTTAGGCATTTGAATGGAAACATAGGGCGATTGAACAATGAATTAAAAAGTGTTACTAATTAAGCACCATCCTATTTCAAAAGCTGTAGAACAATGGCCCCAAAAAGCGGTCTCCGTTACATAACAATGGCGTTTGTTTTGATGGCCGCCCGTTGTCTGGCAGTTGCGAAATTACATTGTAAGCAATTTGGCAACGTCCAGAAGTTGCCAGCAGATTAAAACTCCACATTATATTTTGTCGATAGATAAAAAAGTTTCGCACTTATTTCCTACATGCAGATATAATGGCGCAGTATGTATGTTAATTTTTTTTTTTAAAAAATCGATTAATAATAAAAAATTTATAATATAAATACAGTAAAAATATTTTTGAGTCTTAAGAAGACAAGAACCAAATTTCAGATTGGATACAAAAAATTGACTAATCAAAAACAGATGCCGACAGCCCAATTAATAGTTTGTGGTCAACATTTTTAATTGGACGTCACGATGACTATTTATTGACTGTAATCGTCCAAGCGGAATGATCGCCATAAGCGTAGTCATTTGACTAATGGCGACCAACGGGACTGGATAAATCAAGGCCATAACGAGACGCTTCAAAAAAGCAAACCTCTCCGGATTACTATAAACAAGGCAACCTGATATAATCCGACTTGTCGATCGATTGTGACGCCGGAAAGGGACAGCGCTATGCGCCCCGTTGCATTTGGTCAGCTGATTGTGACGTCCCCGGTCACCGACCCGCGGGGCCCGTTCCGGCGTCCGGACCGAACTTGAATCGGTCGGGATATCACGCCCGCGTGACGTCATCGCCGCCGTACCGATTTGAATTCGGTCCGATGCGATGGGCGGTTGCGTAACTTGCGGTACGCAAGGCTGTTGCGGGGGTCACTGAACAGTACTACGCTGGAATCGCTTTATACGCACTCCGAACGATATTCCTGTGGTATGCGCACCGCACGTGTGCACACATCACCAATCAGTCAATAGTCTTTAAGGTGTATTAAACTACATTTTGAAATGGCCGTGATCTTATTTCGATCTTTTTTCGACCTTATAATTCTATTTAAAGCATTCTGTCTTCCGTGAGCCATTTCCCTCTTAATAATTAATTGTCTATTATTTCATAATTAATTAAAATAATCTTGTTACTCATACCATATGTACACACCCACCGACGTCACAATTCATTGCCCTCGAGCCAAATTCAAGGCTCGAGTTCCGAATTTGAATTTTAATCTAACGGCCTGTAGGATACGGGTGAACGACCGCGCTTGTCCGAACTAACGTTTGCCGCGCAACCATTTCTTGACTATCCGACAGCTTCATCGACGTGTCTATTTTATTGCGCGAAGGTTTTATTTCGTGCAACACTTATTTCTATTGAAGAACCATTAAAATTGTAACGATCCTTCAGTTTAGAAACAATTTGGGACGTTAGAAATATTGCACGGCAACAAGTTTTATGTTTTCCATCCACCAACGTTATGGCCGTAATCGTACCTTTCAAATATGGAACTTGAACACCTTCT